CGGCACCACCGAAACCTCGTGGCTTCCTAGTGCCGAGGGGAGGGGGGTGATGGGCAGCACCAATCCCATCCCACTGTGCCACCAGAGCACGTGGTAGCACGGGACAGCATATCCCAGGTGCTGGAATCTCCAAAATCAGGCACCGGTGCCCAAGCTGGAGGCTCCAAAGTGGCTTGTGGGCAGGTGGGGAAACCGAGGCAGGAGGTGGAGCCCTTTGCTGAAGGGGCTCCCCCTGCCACCCGTACCAAGGTGAGACCCCAAGCCAGCTGCTGTGGGGAGACAGGGAAGCTCTTTCCCAAAGGGCTGTTGCCACCACACTGATAGGGCCACCTTGGGACACATGGGGAGCCCTCCCCAGGGGTGAGCCCTGGCCTCCAGCAGCCCCAGCACAGGGTGGATTATCCCGAGCTCTGGACGGAGCGGGGACCCAGGCACGGGCAGATTAAGTGACCGATGGGAAGGGTCAGGGAGCAGGTCAGGACCTGAGCCAGGAGTTGTGTCCTAAGCTCCCAGTCCAGCTGCCCCAGGAGTGAGCCCAGAGGAGAGCAGGGGGTTCCCCTGTCCCCAAACTGCCCCTCCTCCTGGCCCCCGATTGCGGCACGTCCGGCCGGGCCCTGGGACCAGCTGCCATTTCTCCTGTGGTTTGGGCCAGAAATAGGGTGATGGAGCAATGCTGCCCTTGCCCAACACTGCGATGGGGGCTGGGGGCTCTGCTGACAAAGGCCCCGCTCCCTGTGCCACTCTTTTCTTTTTTTTTCTGTCTTTTAAATAAACCCTCATCCCTGTTAGTTCAGCTGTGCTGAGCGGGGAGGCGGCCGCCGCCTCCGCAGCCCTTGAGTCAGCCCGGGGGGCCGGGGCGTGGGGGGAACACAGCTCTGGGAAGTGGGGGCACAGGGGAAAGGGGGCTCTGGGGGAACACGAGCAGGCGATGCCTGGGCTGGGGGGAGCCAGCCCAGCTCCCAAGACAAGAGGTGGGTGAAGGTGCTGGCTGGGTACCAGGGGCAGGAAGCTCGTGTCCCCTGTCCCCCACCTCATTAATTATCCAGGGTGTTGTTGTGAGAAACAGTTGCAGGGGTTGCCTTGAATGCTGGGACCAGCACCTGCGAGCACCCAGGCGTCTGGCTGGGGGAGGCACTCGGCAGCTAAGCCGCTCTCGCCGAGAAGTCCCTGACCTCCGGCCAGGGATCTGGTGGGATTACAGCTCCGGGAATGCTCCCTGAGCACTATGAGCCAATTACTGGGCTGGATCCCCGGCTGGGAGCACCCTTTGGCAGGTTGGGCCTGTGCCAGAGTGGGGGGGGACACAGCTCTTTTCCTGGGAGAGGTCCACCAGCAACACCCTCACTGCCCCCAGAGCCCTGTCCTGCTTGGGTCCCCTCCTCGCCCCTGTTATCTGCCACTGGCCAGGCCAGGCACTGCAATCACCTCCCCAGCACAGCAGTGCCCGGCCGGGGGCCCCAGGGCACTCCCTGTTATCTGTGAGCCAACCCCCTCGGGGTGGGGGACAGTGGCCCCCAGCTGTGTGACAACGTTCAGGTCCCCCTTCTCTGCACAGGGGCCCCCTCACCCTCCCTGGGGGAGGCTCATCCGCTCGGCTGGCTAATGCAATAAAGCTCTAATCAATATTTTAAAGAAAGTAAATGGACCCTCCCACCCTTGTTAAGAGGTCGTGGGGCCCCCACTCCGGCTGCACACCCCCGGTTGGCTTTGGGTTTTGGAAAGGAAAACAATCCATGGGAGAAGGGGGTTCAGAGGGGATCCCCACGCCTTAGCCAGCACCTGGGGCTTCAGAGGAGATATGGGCTCTCTGCCTTTCCAGACCCTCCTGGAAAATCCCAGCTCCATCAGCCACGTGCACGAGCTGGTCCGGGTGTGTGGGGTCTGGTATCACCCCCCCACCCCGTGGCCCCGCTGAGATTACCGAGCTGCCTTCGGTTTATTTTTCCCCCAACTGCTGCACTTTGAAACTCCATATCTGGGGTGCGCTGCGCGAGATAAGGGCTGAGGTTTTCACCCCCATGTGCCACCGACGCTGCTCAGATGCCCTGGTTGGGACAGTATAAGAAACCTCCCACCCCCCCAAAGCACTGGCACCCCACCGACACCCCCTGGCCAGCACAGCCTCCCCCCGGCACCGCTGCAGCTTCTTAGAGCCTTCCTGAAGCAGAAACGTGGGGTTAAACATCAGCCTGAGGCCCCACAACAGGGCACCCCAAAGGGAGCCCCCAAAATGGAGAACCCAAAGGGCATCCAGTGGCTGCTGCAGCCGGGGCAGCACCAGGAGATGGATCCACCCAGCTGCCCTGCCGAGGGATGGGTACCGGGATGCCTGAGGAGCACTGGCAGCAAAGGAAACTCCAAAGGGGGTAGAGGCCAGGAACTCCAGCTCCAGGCACTGCCACTGTGCCAGGGTCTCCCACTCCTTCTGTAAGTGGAGTGCAGTAGCAGCAGTAATGAAACAGAAAGGTTGTTCTTGGGGGGCAGCAGCAGAGTCCCCCCCAGCACCGGGGTGCAGAACCCAGAGCAGTTTTGTCTCCAGCAGCTCCTTGCCAATGGCAGGAACTCGCTGGATTTTTAGCCATTTCGCCTGGGGAGCCTCCTCCCACCCCAAAAATGTTCCTTTTCCCCCTGAGAAGCCGTGGTGCCCTCGGCAGCCACTGCCCCCGAGCCCTGCACTGTGCCGGGGGCTCCTTTGTTCTGCTGCCCGCGCCGGCAGCGCCTGGGTCAGGCCGAGCTGACCTCTGCCTGCGCAGTAGCCGTCCCCGGGGACGGGGAGGTGCCACGCGCCGGCTCCCTAACCTCCCTCACCTCCATAACTCTTCCTCACGCCCTCCCCTTCCTCCTCCCTTGAACTGGGCCCCCTCCTCCCTCCGGTCCCCCACGGCTCAGCCGTTCACAGGAATCTGTCCCAGATGGGTCAATAAACCCCGGCGGTGTCGGACGTGGGCAGCCCCCGGCAGGCACGGGGCACCCGGGGTTTGGGTGTGGAGATGGGCATGGGGGCTCGGACAGCGGCACTGCCCGGTGAGGACAGTGTCCTCGAGCACAGAGACCCACAGGCCAAGGATGCCCGGGGGGGACCCGATGCCAGCACAACCAGAGCTGAACCTGAACGGCAGCTGCAGGGAGAGCTGGAGAGCTGCAAAGGCATCAGGGCTGCTGGGAGAGCAGGGGTGCTGCCAGTGCTGTGCAGCTCTTTGACAAAAAGAAAGAGGAACCCCAAAGCAGCCCATTCCTCATGCAGCAGGCAGGCACAGCACTGGCACAGCCACACGCAGCACCACATCCAGACTGGCCCACCCATGCAGGGACCCAGCTGTGCTCCAGCACCCCGGGGCTGCCCGGGTTCCCCCTAAGGTGCCTCCGCCCTGGCGAGGGGCAGGGACTGGGGTACGGCATCCCCTGCCCCGCGCCGCCCTCGCTGTTTACATTCCTGCTGCTCCTTCCCAGGCCGCGCCAGCTGGGCTGGGATGGAGCCCGGCAGCACGCGCTGGAGGGCGGCCAGGAGGAGCTCCCGGCCAGCGCCGAGCCAGCAACCCCCTGGCCCGGGTCCAGCGGCCGCGATCCAAGCGCCGTGCGCGGGGCTGACGTGCCGGGGAAGCCTCTCTGGGCCCCGCGTCGCCTCCGCTCCTCCGCCCACGGTCGCTTTCACACCCCCTCCAGCTGCTTCCACAATTAACCGCCGTGGTGGGCTCTTCCCACTGACCCCGGGAAGTGAAATGGAGGGAGAGGGGGTGCTCAGCCCCTCTTGCCAGCACGGTCTGGGGTGCGGGGATGCGCTGGGACACGGGCTGGTGTCCCCGCGCGCTGTGGCTGCGGCGGGGGACGCGGTAGGGGCTATGGCCTGATCCACAGCACCAACATGCTGACAAACAGGAAGATCACAGCTGCGGTATCAAAAACCCCTTTCACAGCTACGAGCTCACGGTCCCGGCCCCTCAGGCCCCGGCAGCAGGAAGCACAAGAGAGAGAAACCACAAGAGGAGGAGGCGGTGTGGGTGCAGCGGCACAAGGGACACATGGGGCAGGAGCATCCCTCCTTCCCACAGCCGGGCAGGACAGACACACACACTGTGCTTGATGGTACTGCCTCCATCAACCCTGTTCTGAGCCTGCCTGCATCCAGATGTGCCAGCAAATCCTGGCAGTCCCTTCCCCCATATTGGGAGGGATGTGACAGCCCCCCAAAGGGAAGGGGCAGGGGCAGTCGCATCCCTCCCGAAAGGCCACCGTGCCCTGGTCGCTCCATCTGGGTCCCATCTGCTGCTGCTGGTCCCGCCCCTTCCCCCAGCCCCAAACTCCGATGTATTTAAACACACATCAAAGGTGCCGGGCGGCCCCCGGGGAGCCCTGGCTCCAGCACATTTCCTTCTATTAGCCAGTGCAGAACGCAGCCAGCTCCAGTGCCGGGAGAGCAGGAGCGTGCCGGCCTCCTGCCAGCCCAGGGAAGGCAAAGGTGGAGGTAGATGGGTGCTTTCTCCCCAGTTTCACTCTTTAGCAGCATTTGGGCAGCAGCAGGGGAGCAGCACTGCCTCCCACCGAGGATCTGGGGGGCCAGAGTCGTTCTGCTGGACATCACCTCTGCGGTGAGGGGAGATGGCCAGGTCCCCACAGAAAATGGCTTGGAGGGGACAAGAGGAAAACCAAGAGCCCCATGAGATTTGGAAGTCTGGGGTGATTTTTTTTGTAATTTTCAGCAAGAATCCTCCCAGGTCCCTGCAGCAAACCCCATCACACTGTCCACCTGTGCCAGGATCACAGGATCCACTCAGAGCCACCTGATCAGGGAAGGGGGACTGAGGCTGAACCCAGCACTAAAACACTGGAGAAATCCCACACTTTCCTAGTGACAACAGCAGCTGGATCCATGGAGAACGTTCCCGCAGGCGGCACCGCCAGAGGTGTCTCCCCACGCTCCCGAGGACACACGGACGCACAGGAGCAGGGCAGAGGGACAGGGGTGGCACAGGGGGGACACGCGTGTCTCTGCGGGCACCCACCTGCTTGAACTGCTCCTCGTAGGTCCAGTCACCGTGGTCGGGTGCCGGTGGCGGGGGCTGCGTGTGGCCCAGGCCGGGGGGCAGCCGGTCCTGCCCCCCCGGGAGCCGTGGAGGCTCCCCCCGGTAGTGCTGGGCCGCCGGGGGCTTGCGGAGCAGCAGGGATCCCGCGCCCGCCCGCACCGCCCCTGCCGAGCTGAGCCCTTCCTCTCCCATGTCTTCATCCTCCTCATAGTCTTCCTCTTCCTCCTCCTCTTCTTCCTCTTCCTCCTCAACCAGGTCCTCTTCAAAGTCATCTTCATCCCACTTGCCCTTCCTGGTGCCGGGGAGAAAGGAGAGGCTTGGTCCCACACTGGTTCCAAAAGTCCACGCCTCTCTCCTGCCTGCCCCGTGGGCACTGCTCAGCCGTGGGGCTGGGACCACCTACCCAGCACACAGCCGAGCCCCGGTGCAGCCCGTCAGCAGGGGCAGTTCTGTGGGGCACAGCTGACCCCTGGCAGCCCAAGAGCAGCTCTGTCATGGAGCGGGGCTCTGCCAGATGGCTCCTGGCCCAGCAGTGCCCCGGGAGGATGTGGGCTGGAGGCAGCCAAGGGTCCTGCATAATTTAACACCAGCTCGGGTCCTCTGTCATGGCCCCACGTGGCTGCTGGGCAGAGATGAGATGTCGCCCCACGCCAGCCCAGCACGAGGAATCACGGCTGCAGAGCTGAGCCGCTGCTCTCAGCAGCTCCTGCTCCAGAATATCCTGACAGCTCTAATCCACAACTGGCCCCAAGCCACAGGATCCCTGCAAGTACCCCCACAGCCTCTCCTGCCACTCCCCAGCCCAAAAGGTGGTTGGTGTCCCCAGCCAGCCAAGCCCACCAGTGCCGTGCCACATCCCTGCCCCTTCCCCAAATCCACGAGAACTGCCCAAGTACACTCACAGGTCTTCCTCCTCCTCAGAGCCCATCTCCTGCTGGTACCCGCCGTCCTCCTCGTCCTCTCCGCGCTCCTCCTCTTCCTCCTCCTCCTCCTCAGAGGGCTGGCTCTCGTCCGAGAGCCCCGGGCTGGGCGAGTGGCTGAGGCCGGCGGCGGCCGCGCGCATGGCGGCCAGGGCGGCCATCTGTGCCCGCTGGATGTGCGCGCTCTCGGGCTCCGCTCCCTCCTCCGAGGGCGCCGGGGCCGGGTCCTGCCCACGGCCCCGGGCTGCGGTGCCGGCGGGGGGCTGCCCCGGGGGCTGCGCCGGGGGAGACGAGGAGCGCGGCTGCTGCTGCTGCTCCTGCTGCCGCGCTTCCAGCGCCTGCTGCAGCCGCGCGCGCTGCTGCCGCTGCAGGTTCTCCATCACCGCCTGCAGCTTCATGGCTCTGCCGGCGGGCGGGGGGTCCCCGGGGGGGCGGGGGGCGACGCACCCGGGGGGCAGCGCCCGGGGGGCAGCGCCCGGCAGGCTGCCGCGCTCCAGCGGGGCTGGGGGCCAAGGCTGGACAGCGCTGCGAGAGGCAGCCCTGGGGGGGGCTGCCAGGGGGTCGAGAGCAGCGTCGTTGGGGTGTCAGGGCAGGAATCGACGCCGGGTCAGGACTGGAGGACGTGCCCCTTGACCCCTCCCAGCCTTTGCTCAATGTCTCCTCCGCTCAAGGGCTCCAGCAGGAGTCGAAGGCTGGGGGCTGCTTGTCGGGATCGGGGTGCTGCCGAAACTCCTCCTCAGGCTCAGCAAGCAGCAACTGCAGTCTGGTGCATCACCCCTTCCCTCTCAGACCTGGCACCTTCTGGGGAGCAGCAGCCTCAGGGTCCCCCACTCGTGGCTGGTGTCCCTAATCCTCAGCCAGGTCAACGCTGAGCAGGCGTCGGTGCAAACCTGCAGGAGAAATGGAGCAGAGCGTCAGCGGAGCCGTGGGCAGGAGCCAGTGAGCAGGAAGGAGTTAAAGACAGTGCAGGAGCCTCATTAATCTCGAGCTAATGAGATAGGGCGGCAGGGCCTGCTGCTGGAGGGGGAAGGGGCCTGCCGGACCCCGATAGCCTGCCTGGCCCTGCAGGCAGTGGATACCGGCAGACCCGTGCCCGCAGATAAGAGACCCCAGGGAGAGCCACCCATTGGGTCCTCCACAGGGGACAAGGCATGTTCCCACCGGGGACACACTGCATGGGGAGCACTGGGCCCATGGTGATGGCACCGGGGTGTGGGCAGGGTCTGCACTGCACAGTGAAGAGGCTCCAAAGCACGGGGGAGCTGCAGGACCCCAGGGCCAATCCCATGGGATGGGCAGGCAGAGCCTCACCCTTGAAACCCCAGCAAACCACCCCTTTCAGTCACTCCCAGAACCCCCTACTGCTCCCCTTCCTCAGGATTCAGGGTCCTCCAGAGCAACATGGGCCTGAGAGCAGCTCATCTCTGCTTCACTCCACTAGAAAACACCAGAGGAACCAGCACCTTACAGCCTGTGGCACTCCACACCCCGGCACCCCGGCCTGGACACCCCCCCAGCACTGGGACCCCAAGCCTCGGTGCTACCAGCAGCCCCCTCAGCTGGCCGGGGCTCTGGCGTGACCTCGCCTGTGCCGAGGGCAGGGAGGGAGCTCACCACACCACTGCCGTGTATGGGCAAAGGCGCCTGAATCAGTTGCCCAGGGGCCAGTGGAGCGCGCACACCCCGGGAACCTCGCGGCGACCGGACCCAGGGGCTGCGGAGCCAGGGCAGCAGCAGCGCACGGGGGCCAGCGGCCACGATCCCGCGCATTCTGGAAAGGGGAACCTGCTCCCAGCGCGGGCCGGGGCCGCGGCCGATCGGGCGGGAGCCGCTTCCCCCGCTGCGGCAGCGGCCGCATCCGCCCCCGGCCGGGCTCCCGCGATGAACGGACACGCTGCCACCGCCGCGGCACCTCCGCGGCCACCGCCGCCACCAGGAGCCAGCACCGGGGAGGCACTGCCCAGGCTCTGCCCGTGCCTCAGTTTCCCCTCCTCTACCCAGGCCATCTCCGTCTCAGCCACACGGAGGGGAGGCCGGGGCAGGGACCCTCCCTGCCCTGGGGCAGCCGCCGCTCACCCGCCGTGGCCGCACTCCCGCCCTGCCCCGCACCTGAGCCCAGAATCCTGCACCGGCCACGAGCGAAACGGGGCAAGACCCGTCCCGGGCACGTGCTCCCCGACCGGCCGCGACTCCCCGAGAGACTCGGTGCCAGCGCCGAGGTGCGGAGCCGCCTCTCGAGCCCCGCGGGCCGCGGCCACGCTGCCACGTCTCCGCGGGGAAGCCGGAGCGGCGAGGCCACAGCCAGGGCCCCGTGGCACCCCGGTGACCTTGAGCCGTGCCCCTTTGTCCCTCCGGCCGCTCCGGGCCAGGGGACCCGGTGCGTGCCCGCCGTGGGGCGGTGACGGGGGTTCCGCGGGGGATTCGGGGCGGCGGCACCCGCGTCCCCGGGGCAGGTGCTCGGGAGCGACAGCGGCTAAAAATAGGCGGCGGCGGGCGGGGGTGTGACGGACGGGCCTTTGTACCACCAACACCGGGGTTGGCCGCGGCCGGACACCCCCGGGCGGGATCCCGGCACCACCGGGGAGGGGCCCCGGGGGAGGCGCGGGGGTTGAGGGAGGAAGAGGGGGACGGGGAGGCCGGGCCCGACGGGTTGCGTCCCCGGGGACAAACGGGGCTGGGGGCACCGCGGGAGGGATCCCCAGGCGGGCAGGGGACACGTCCCGGGGCTGAGCCCAGCCCCGCTCCCGACAGCACGTGGCACCGGCGGCCCCCGGACGGACCGGGCACGGAGGCGGCGGGGCCCGGGGGGGGCCCCGGCCCCGCGAACCGGGGGGGAATCCGCCGCCGCGGGTCGGGGAGAGGAGCCCGGGCTGGTCCGGTTCCTCCGCCGGTTGGACCCCGGGAGGCCGCGGGCCCGGGGCGGGCACAGGGCGGGGCCGGGGGGCTCTGTCCGGCCCGGACGGCAGCGCCTGCGGGGGACTGAGAGTCCAGGCCGGGTGCGGAGCGGCCGGGGAGGAAAGAACCCCGGCCCAGCGCCGGGGAGGCGGCCGGTAACCGGCCGCGGGGAGAGGGGGCGCGCCGCTCCCGCCCAGCACCGGCCGCGGAGGGCCCAGCCCGCCTCGGGGAGGCGGCCGGTCCCCGGCCCCGGTCCCGCCCAGCCCCCGACCCCCGGCGGTGCCGGCCGCGGCGGGGATCCCGGTCGCGGCCCC